GTTATTTCTTTACTAAAAGACTACTTTAAGAAGCAGCAAGAAAGCTGTTCCAAAGCTTCATTTGAGAAGCTTTCTTATTGCTTTCTAAAATAAATTTATAGTACAAACTTTTTAAAATAAAAAAAATTATTTTAGAAAGCAATAAAAAAGTGAACTCAAACGAAGCCTTACTAGTATACTTAAATTATGTCTACATGCTCTTTAATCAAATTCAATCATGGTAGTCATGTATTAGTTACTAGACTCTAAATACCTAAATTATGGAGAATATTTCATAAGAAGTGTGAACTAATATAGTCGTAATTGGATAGACACAAGAATCATATTAAGGGGTTGTTCTCATCGCTTTCTCCCACCCGTAATGCTTTTGAATATTGATGGACATTCTGATGCGGTGCATCCTTATCCAGATATCTTGCGGGCCATGTTACAATAGCTTTCGTACATTTATATTATGTTAGTTTGGGTTGAACCCCACTATGCTATTTGTTATAATTGATCATCCATATTTGTTATTAGTACTTGTGGTACATTTACCCTTTTAACCGTTAGCTAGGTTGGTTGTGTGCAAGAATGCAAATAGAGAAATTGTAAGAACGAATATATATTTTTTAACGAATATATATTTTTTAACGAATATATATTTTTTCACTAATATACACAATTTCTACATAGTTGTTATTGTTTTATTGGCTGCTTGCTTCTTCATCATCCTTGCAGGTCAAGCTCTACTTCAAGTTTGGTATCAGAGAGAGGATGGTTGAGAGCAGTAGACGGGTGGTTCCCAGTGAAGATCTTATCCTTGAAGCCCTGTGGGTAGAACATGCCATGTTGGTGCAGCAAACGGAGGAATTGTCAAGGGACATCCTGCATTTCTTTGTCGAAATGTGCAAAGAATTGAGAATGATCAATGCTCAGCTCAACAGACAATCGGGAACTCGACCACTGTTACCTATAACCGGACCCACAATCGGATGAGGGCTATCGACGAAACATGAATGACATTGGGATTTGTTGTTGATCGAGGCATAATATTCGAAAGATGAGGCAGGCCGGTTACAACCACACAAACTTTTAGATGCTGATGCGGATCCAGTTTATCAGCCAAGAAGGCAACTAGTTGAGAGAAATCGATGTCATGGTGAGTTTCGGATGTAACTTGACATCCCATTCTTTGATGGGAAACTACACATTGAAGATTAGTTGGATTGGAAAAGATCTGTTGAGTCTTTTTTTGAATATGTGGAAATCAAATCTGAGAAACATGTGAAATATGTTGCTTGTAGGCTCAAAAGAGGAGCCAGTGGTTGGTGGTTGCAATTGCTTTAGTCTAGACGTCAAGAAGGCAAGGGACAAGTGCACAATTAATATAGAATAAAACAACTTCTTCAAGGGGTTAGAACTGTGAACAAGTAAGTGCGAGAAACTATTTAAATGAATCATCTAATCAGTTAGTAACAAGATATATTGGTGGGCTATGAGAAGCAATTCAGGAGAAACTTGAATTGAATGTTGTCTGGTCACTTTCCCAAGCAGTTAACTATGCACTCAAGCTAAAATACAGCTAGCTCGACATTCACGCAACAACCATAACAGATGAAGTCAAGACCACTCTAGAGAATTTAATAGATCGATTGTTCCTACTACAGTTAATGCCATGAAGGTTTTTTTCACCACACCAACACCTGTTGCATCCAATATTTGGGTTAACTGAACATCATAAACAAAGGGTAACCCAAAGTTGAAGGCACCGCTAAGGGAGAACCCATATGTTAAGCCTTCAAACATCAAATAATTCATGTGTTTTCAGTAGGGGCGTAAGTCCAATGAATGCCCATCCATACCTTAATCTTGCTTATTAAGCGCAAAAGGCGAGGAAGAAGTGGATGCAGCGATTCGATTTAGGACTGGTGGAAGAAGATATTGTAGGAGATGAAAGGGAACCACTTATTTGTGTTTTAGAGAAATTATTGCTAGCAACTAAATAGCAATCTAATACACAAAGGAATGCCCTTTTTAAAACAAATTGCATCATAAGGGGAAGGTTTGTGATTTTCTTATTCACAGTGGGTGCACTAAGAATGTTGTACCTCGCTCAGTGGTACATGCATTGCACTTGAAGACTAAAAAGAATCCAAATCCCTATAAGATAAGCTAGGTAAAGAAAGGCATGGAGATTTTAGTGACATATATGTATAAAAATACATTTTTTATCGGCAAGCATTATGTTAGTGAGGTCTTGTGTGATGTTATCAAGATGGATGTGTGCCACCACATTCTAGGAAGGTCGTGGGAGTTTAATGATAGAGCTACGTATGATTGCCAGTCAAATACTTATTTCTTTGATTGGAAGGGTCGAATGTTGAGATTATTGCCCTATAGTACTCAAGATTACGCCAGAGTCAATGCAAAATATGTTATGATCTCTATGACGGTAGTTGTTTTGCTAAATGTCTAGCGTGAGTCATCATAAATCTTGTATTTACTAGTGAAGGATATCAATGCATCTACTGCTGTGGAGGCTATTCCCATCGAAGTTTCTTTGCTACTGCAACAATACCCTGACATTAGGCTAGAGAACTTAACCGTTAGTCTACCACCATTGGGATCAATTCAACATCAGATTGAGTTGACGCCATGTGGTATATTGCCAAATTTGCCCCATTATAAGATGAGCCGCAAAGAGCACCAAGTTTTATAATAGATGGTGGATGAGTTGCTTGAGAAACAAATTGATTTAACCCAACCCAAGCTCATATGTAGTTCTTGTACTTTCGGTGCCCAAGAAAGACGGTAGTTAATTGGAGGATGTGCATAGATAGCAAATCTATTAATAAAATTATTGTTAAATTTAGGTTTCCTTTGCATAGAATGGAAGAGATGTTAGAGAAATTGGTTGGTTCACAAAAAATTTCAAAACTATGTTTGCGCAGTGGTTATCATCACATACGAATTCACCTGGGAGATGAGTGCTATCACTGAGTGGCCTACTTCTAATTCATTTTTTGATATTAGAAGCTTCCATGAGTTAGCAAATTTTTACCACATTTTTATTAAAGGGTTTAGCATTTTAATGGCTACTGTTACATATGGGTTAAAACGAAAGCGGTTTGTGTGGTCAGAGGAATAGTAGCGAAGCTTTGAATCTATTAAATACGCATTATCATCCGCCCCTGTAAATAGCATGCCTAATTTTGAACAACCGTTTATAGTTGAGACTAATGCCTCTGTGATACTATGCTAACTCAAAATAATCAACTAATTGAATATTTTAGTTAGAAGCTGTCCCACCAAGCAGCGGTGGACGATGTATGAGTAGCTAGGAGTTATATGCCTTCATCAAATCTTTGAAGAAAAGGGAACATTATCTTAACCGTTACCTAGGTTGGCTGCGTGCAAGAATGTTGTCATATAGATAAAGAAACTATAAGAAGGAAGATAGTTTTTTTCACTAATATACACAATTTCTACACTGTTGTTAATGTTTTATTGCTTGCTTGCTTCTTCATCATCCTTGCAAAAGTTGCATGTCAACTCCTTCATCACATTCATTGTAAAATTACATTCAAAAGGGTCTATTGCATGTGGAAAAGGTTAACCGGTTGCACAAAGATTCAATAAAAAATCAAGCTGGCCTACATTGAAACAATCCACCCCATAACCAAAAATACCATAATTTGACTACTTCTCACTACACTCTTCATACATGAAATAGCCATGAGGGTTTCATTGAAAGCCCGCATATGATCTCAAATAAGCACACCATCAATGGTTTACCGTAAAAACAGGTTTTTATAGACTATCAATTGAGCCGTACAATATTTTCTATATATATATATATGCAATAAATGTTCCACAAGCTCATCTTAACGAAAAGTTATATTATATTTAAATTTTGATAATTTTCACTTACTATATAAATAAAAACAAATTAAAATTTAATAATAATGATTATTAAATGCAATTTTGGTCAACTAAGACCAATGAAAAATAAAAACAGAATGAGTAAATCTTCCTCAAATGACGCATATACAAAAACAAAATTAAATTTGAAGCATGGGAGAGTTTTTATGAGTGATGCTACAACGCCTATTTAATATTTTTTACTAATAAAAAAATTTAATGTGTACTTACCATACTAATTAGTGAATAGCTAATTTGGCAACTCACGGCGGAGCTATACGAAGTACCCATTTAAGGGGTTCAATATTGCAACCCTTGAAATAATTATTCGATGCGAATGTCAAACTCCGTCTGGACACCTTACCTCGCGGCTCGGTGCCGCAGCTCGGCATCGCATATGTGACTCATTCTTGTTTATATCCAGATATAGAGCAGCATTTGATGTCGGCACAGATTAATCTCTCCTTAACTTGATGAGTGCTTAGCTCTTTTGTCATGGTATATGTGTGCATAGATGAACCTAAATCTCATAAAGGCAAAAATCACTAATCAACTATCAAATTTGTAAGCTTAATATTAACCTAAATCATATTTATATTTTTTCAAGAGACTTTCGAAGAAGAAAAAATAAACATATAGACCGACTTGTTCAAGTGCAAACATCAAGAAAAAAAAAATAGTACAATAAATATTACGTAATCCTAAAAAAAATGTCAATATAATTTAATTTACAAATCATTCCATTTATGTAAAAGAATGATTAAAATATCATATCTAATGTTTTTAATTCTGACAAAATTTGTATAAAAAACTTAATCAGTTAATTAATAATAAATAGAAATTTATAAAAATAGATTCAATAGTTTTTTAATAAACAAAATGCCATAATTTCCTTCCACAATAAACTTACAGTACAGTTAACCAATCACGATGTTTTTAAAAGGAAATTAATGACCGCAAACCGACAAATTTGACGGCACCATACCCGCAAAAGCAGAGATGGGCATCAAACACCCTAAAAACTCTGCCCGGCACCACGCGTTTAGTGTGTGTGCCTTTAAATTAAAATAAAAACGTCAGAGCAGAAAATTGAACTGTAAAAAACTTTTACCCCACAATAAACACAAATTACTAAAACATGACGAAAGAGTCAATTACAATATAAGAGAGAAAATCCTAAACATAAAAATGGAATATTATCAGAAGATTTCTTCAAAACTTTACAACAAAATAATAAGAACACTTGGCGCTAAAAACGGCATAAATGCCGTGGAGATTTAAAGAGAAGAAAATTACGGATTTGATCGATCATGTAACAGAGCGAACCAAAAAAGATATATTGAGTTCTCCATTTGCCGATTAAGTCACGACATGAATACTTGTAAGCAGGCGTTCTTCGGGTAGTTGCAGATTGGACATAAGGCAACGCTCGGCTCGCAATTCTGGCAGAGGCAAAGGTGCCGGCATGGAAGAACAAGAACAGACACTTGAACGACGCCGCACACCTTGCAATTCATCTGTTGTCGGCTTGTCTCGTTGGCTGGCAAGGACATAGAGATGGGCTGAGCCGCCGCCGGCTTCAACTGAGTCTCGTTGTCATAGCAGAAAGACTGCACGTCCTCTGCCAATAACGGAGCACCATCGCTGTCTCCATAACCTTCCTTCAGAGAGGGAACAGCCGCAGCTGTAGCGGCGTTCTGGAAGAGCACTTGCTCGAGATTTGTTCTTAGATTGGAAACTAATATTTCGTTGTTCTTGGCGACATTGAACCAGATCTGATTCTCGGCGGTCATCTTCTGGATCTTCTCCTCCAGCTCGGCATTCTTTCGGTTCGCGCCTTCCAGTTCAGACTCCTTTTCGCGTAGACGTTTCACAACGACTTGCTGTAATATGGAGGCCAGTGATTTGCAGTGCCTTTTGCGCGCTTCCAGCAGTCCTAGACGAATCTTATCGTACTGTTTTAGAGGCGAAGTAGAACAATTAAGCAATTGATAAAGATTCACAACCTAGTAGATAGACTAACGACGAAGCAACAGTACCTGCGAACGGATGAGTTCATCCATCTCGGAGTTATTATGGCGGATCTGAGCAAGAATCTCCTGGCCGAAAGAACCCGGAGCAGAAGCGGACTGGGAAGAAACGCCGGATGACCGGCCACTGGTCGAAGCCGAAGCTGAATCAAAAACCCGCATGCTCTGCCCGCGCGACGCCAATAAAGCAGAGGTAACAGCACCGCAAGAACCATTCTTCAAACCGAAGGATGCTGCAAGTAAGGAAGGATTGGAAACACGGGCAAACGGAGGAAGTGGAGCCAACTTCAACATCTCATCATGGCTTCTCTTCCGAGATCCTGAGACATTGCATGTGAGCTCGCTCTGAGGATGATCGCTAAACACACTAGCGTTGGGTAAACCCGCAGCCACTTTGCCAACAATAGGAAGATGATCGATCTGAAGCTGACGGCTCTGCATGGTCTGTAGGCCTTCAAGAACACTGCCGATCGGCATCCTAAAGAAGAGATCACGAAGTACGGAAGCAGAATAGTGAGAAGGATTTATAAATAAGGTGGAAAAGACGTAACGAGAATCCCTATAGAAGCGCGGAAAAGAAGTAGAAAGATGTGGTGAATATTGAAGAAGACGGATTTCACCTGGAGGGGTACTCGGAGTAGAAAGCGTTGGACGGGTGTTGAGCAGCTTGGACCGCCATTTTAATGTGCGTTTGATGGAAATCGAACGACGCTCCTCTTGCCGGAATTTTTGGTAGTCGACCTGACGACGTTTGTTCGGATTAGGAAATCGGTTGCCGCAGTTGTTGTTGAAGAGGAAGGAGAGATTCAGCGATTTTCGGAAGGCAATGGGCGAAACGACTTGGTGGTTGAAGGAGGGGATTTTATTTATAGAAGATGGGAAAGCTATGGAATCAGTTTTGAAGGACTAGAGGAGCATGGAAAAAGGAATAGGATTTCGACAATTGATTATGGACTCGTTGCAACCGTGGAACAGGTGTCCGACGTGGATATTTTAAAAAATAGTATTAGTTGTTATCTTTTATTTATTTTTAACTATATTATATTTGAGAAAATATTTAGCTTTATCTTTAAGGTATAATTATTTTTTTCATAACAAAAATTATATCATAATATCAAAATATTATATTTTAAATATTTTATTAAAAGTCACAAATAAAATAAAATTATTAAAAACAAATTTTAACACCTTTTATTTATTTTTAAATTATTAAAATTAAATTTGGTTTAAATTAAATATTTATTTGGGACAATTCTAAAATTTTGTAAAGTTTCTTGTTAACAGTAGGGGAAATATTTTTTTTAATTTTATTATATATATTATAAATATATATATAAATTTAAATTAAATTAAACAATAGCATTTTGAAGGAAACACACATTAGTAATTTTTTATCATAAAAAACATTTTAATACATAATTTTTTGAGAAAAAGCAAAAAACAACAAAAAATGTAAAAAAAAATATAATTTTAATCTAACAATCAAAATAATGAGAAATCTATTCTAAAAGGGCCTTAAAACAAAATCAACCTAAAAAAACAGCAATGAGAGGTTTTTGCAGTTGAATATAAATATATATTTAAAATAACATAATTATTTCAAGTAGTGCAAAGTCAAATATAGAAATTAAATAAAAAATTAAAATTAATGTGCTATTATATGAAAATATTTTGTATTTTTGAACAACTCGAGTTTAGTCGAGTGTTTGTCTAATCGAATTAAGCTTATGTAACTTTCTTTGAGCTCAGGCTAGTCCTCCACTTGTTCGGAAATTATTAGGCTTGAGTTTGGCTCAATTACTCAAACTCGCCTACTTTACTCATGCTCGTTAAGAAAGCTCATGCATGACTCATAAAATAATTAAAAAAAATTAGTTTATAATATATTATGTTATTTTAAATTAGATTCTAAATATATTGTAATTGAAAAGAGCTATTAAAAAAGATTAGGAGCCAAGACTAACAAAGCTCAAGCTCATGCTCGACTAATATACGAACTCAACTATAAACTCTAGCTCGAATTCATGGCTTAATAATTTTGACTCTTCAGCATCTTAACTAGTTAAATTCTAGCTTGCGGCTCAGTTACACCTCTCAGTCATATGAGAGATTATTACATGCAGAGTCGGAAGAATAAAACAGTTCGATTTTGTGACTGTAAACAATAAAATCTTAATTAATGTTCACCATTATATTTTTATTATTCACAATCACAAAATTGAATGATTCTGTCCAAATATAAATTATTATTATATTAAAATTACTTTGATATATTTAGAAATAAAATATTTGAATAAAAAAATCAACTCACATACGACAGTATTAATTAGTGTTAGGAAGGCGGCATTTAGATCTCTCACGCCGTGGAAATGAATAGTTGGGCTGCCCGCGGCAACGTACGGTCAACGGAGAAGAGTCACCGCTCGTGCACGAGAAACCGCCTTCGCGTAAGCCTCGCCTTTACTTCATCATATATATATATAGTATGCAAATTTATAAAAATAAGTAAATGAGTGCCAAATTTAATAAAAATTCCAAAAAAAAAAAATATTAGAAATTAACAAATTA